GTTCTATACAAAAATGCCACGATAGTTGGTTTTCAAAGGGAATAACAGAAATGACAAGACGTGTGCATTTATCGTTCGAGTTCACTATTGCGCACTATTGAGCTTCCAAAAAAGCTCATAGGACATGTTCTATTGGTACTCTATAACGATAAAAAGTGACATAACTAAAGCAGAGAAGTGCGTAAAACTAACTAATTTGTCAATCATCCTACCCATTTCAGTGTCTCAAATATGCTACCCACAGTTGGTTTTTAATGGAATTAAGAAGAATGATGGATTAAAAAGAAAGATCAGCATCACATGCTAGTGTGTGTTCACGTGCATGTTGATTGTGTAAAGGGAATAAATCCCACATCGGTTAAATACCGAAATATTGACCAATTTAAATAGATCTTGAGCTACTCGTCTTAATAAGGATAAATCCCACATCGGTTAAATACCGAAATATTGACTAATTTAAATAGATCTTGGGCCATTGATTCCCTAACAAAGCAATCATGGGACATGTTCGATACGCTGTAATGGGATGGGCCAACATGGCTACAGAAGAGGGGTATGTAATGGGATTTGTCAAGTATCTTTTTTTAATCCTATCAAGTTTTGCGTACCAAAACATGCCAAACATGACTTGTTTTTAATGGAATCAACACAAATGACTGATTTAAAAGCAGAATCAGCAGTTCATAAATTCACACACTGGTTTGTGTGTGTGTGTTTTTTTGGGGGGGGTGGGGGGGGGGGGGATTAAACAAATTCTAAGAATAATTGTAAAAAAAATATTTCCCTTTGGGCCCATCATACCCTAACAAAGCAGTCATGAAAGTGTAGTCTAATGAGGGCAGCAGCTATGCCAGAATCTTGGGCATAAGCCTGGTCCAATGTAGTTTTCACTATACTCTCTGCAGATGGACAAGTTTTCTGATAGAACCCTACTTTCAAAGGGGTAAATGTACTTGAAAAACTCCAAAAATTTGCAAGAAATAATCCCAAAAAAACAAAAAACTTTGCCATTGCAATCTGATAGCTTCTTTGTGAAGAAATTATGAGAAGTAAAAATATAAAATGATTGGAATCTGAGTTGTGTGGTGGACACAAACCTAGGATACTACAATTTATACTAAAGTTATTGAAAGACTAGACATTATAATTTAATGCAAGTAGACAGAAAAAAACTAAATTAGGTGATGTGATGAAATTTCATGGTAGGATCGTTTTATAATATTGTATAATCTACTGGCAAATAAAAAAAATGATGGCGTGTGGCCTCCACACGATTCTCTTTTTAGACACAATGAACTTATGATAAGTTGTAATCCGGTTCGTGGTTTTAATCGCTCATTGTTCTATCGATCAGGAAAGAGAAAAATATGATAAAAAATTCTTTGTTTTCCTAGTTCTAATTGTTGTATTGAGTCTTGAAGTTTCTCCTTAAAAAGTAATCGGTATTAAGAGAAGTAGGTAAACTCGTGTTACTATTTCCATGTTCGAGCAATCTGGACATGACCCGTAAGATGGAATTGCTTGTTCGAGTGTTCTGAATTTTAATATTATCTTAAAAGTTCAGTTCTATCAAAATAAGTAGTCCAAGCTCTTATATTCAATATTTTTTTCATATTTAAGCGGCAAGCAATTTTACCTTTAACTAATAGATTTCAGGAATTGATTCACGTTCTCAATATAACGTGTTTACTCTCGACCTTTTGGCAAGTGGGCTACTTGTTAGTTGTTCGATGGATTGGTATTGTTCCATCCAACGTGCTCTTTGTCATTGAGTTCAAGATTTTTTTTTTTTTAGTTAAAATGGTGATTGAGATGAATATATATAAACTTGAGTTGATATATTAAAAGAATTCCGAGACAATGACTCATCAGCACATAGTTACAATCTAAACAATACTATTTAACAAGTTGCAACTTGCAATTAGCCTACACGTATACGTCTCTTTATATTCTAACTTTCTCACCAACATCTAAAAGAGTGAACATTAATTTACTATTTCTGGACTAAGACTTCGTCAATTCATCAAATCTAATTTTTTTTCTTCTTCTAGTTCTTTAAATTTATTGTAATTATTTTAGGAGAGAACCGATTTAGTACTTTCTCCTTTTGTATTGTGCCGATTAAATTATAAATATCTTCTCGAAGAAAGTGCTTGCTTCATTTTGAAAGAGTAAATACTATTCGAATTATTCAAATTCGTTGGTATTAAACGTCCGTCTAATTGTCCGTTAAGTGTTATAAAACGATTGAACATCGTAAATAAAAAATACGAGTTATATTTAAAATGTTCAGTTAATTAATTGAGAGCTAGATGAGCGCTTATCACTAGTTGAACTGAAGAACATTAATCGTGCTATTTATCATTAACATGTGATATGACACTAAATGATAAAATCAATAAAATGATTCTAAATTTTTATATTCATACTTTTAAATGGTCAACCATAAAATATGAGTTACCACTGGCGCAATTTGGGTTTTTCCCATTTTGCATATTTTCTTTTAGGTTATTTTTCTTTTGTTTATTTAAAGAGGATCCATAATAGTCGAAGGGACAAATTTTGCTAATTAATTGAATGGTAAAGGGTGTATTGTGCAAATAAAAATGTGTTAAGAGAGGTAGATTTCTTACTAATCTGAAACGTTATGCCCTTTTCAAAGTGGAAAGGATAGTCTTCCAAATCATTATAGAATCCCAGCTCTTGCTCATTTAGGGGAAGGATATATTCAATTGAGATTTTTAATGACTTTTTGAGATTTACAAAATTTAAGTATATTTAATGTAGACTTTTTGAAACTCTTAAAAAGTATTGATGTATTTAATTGAAATTTTTTAGACTTTTAAAAAGTCAATGTATATTAAATTAAATATTTTTAGAAATCTTCGGGATACTAACTTTTAAACAAAAATTACTCATATAAAATCTCAAAATTTGTATATCATTTAGTCACAAGATTTTGAGATACTTTCAAAAAAAATAACAAAAAGAAAAATGATTTGTATTTTTTTTTTTTCAATATTTCCCTTTCCTTTTTCTTTCTACAAACATTAAAGTTATGATTAAAATTTATCTTTCTAGTGATTATATTTGTTTCTATTTATCATTCTCTCTCTCTTATTGTTTATCTCTATTTTTAATATTAAAAAAAAATTAACTAAATTCTTAAACATTTTTTTTCTTTTTTCATTCACTTTTTTTATGAAATACATATATATTTTTTTCTAAAATAATTTTTTATTTTATGGTGAGAGGAAGGGAAAGGGAAATTGTTTCACATTATTGCACTAGATTCACGTGAATTCTATTTTAATGAAAGTCTTTGAATTCAACAAAACTCCATAAAAGTTTTCAAACGAAAGTTTATAGAAGTCTACGAATAAATTCCACTATTTTCATAACAATTTACAAAAAATTCATAAATTACACAAAAGTCATCACTTAATAAATAAATAAATAAAAAAGGTCATTACTTGAAAAATAAAAAATAAAGTTCATCAAAATTTTCAAAAGTCTCAATTGATTAAACCCCAGTTCCATAGTACCTTATCATCACTAGCTCAAAGTTCAAATGTTCAAAAGCAGTTTGTTAGACTTAAACGATGACGTTCGATATCGGAAAAATCTTCACAACCATATCCTAAACATATCAATCCGCACACATAGTTATCATCACTTGAGGGTCTTTTATAACGTGAACGGGGTTGATATCATGCTCTTAGAACGCTAGAACAATTAAGCTGCCAATTTGAATCGTTCCACGATAATTCTAGACCTTCAAAACATAGCTATAAAGCCTCAAAATTTCCAAGTTTTTAAGGTTCGAGACAACAAAGCCAGTGAATTCAAGATCAAGCAACGGTTGCTGCTCAGAACATACAACAAAAAAGCAAATATAAAAAGGCCAATGAAAGTGTATTCAAATGGCTCCAGCACAGATAATTGGAGCTATGAAATGAGATTCACAGTGGCAAAGGAGAAGTATAAAATAGAAGCCTTTCGATCTTAAATCATAAAAAAGAATAAAGCAAACCAGACAAGCCAATACAACATAAGAGGCACGTTTTTAAGTAGAATCATCAATCGACTTGGGATCTTCTCTTGCTTTCAGAGAAGCTGAAGGGGATGGAGAGCCTTCTTGACCCATTTCAGCTCTAAGGTCATTGATACTCTGCTCCAATTCATCAATCCGGTTCCCCATCTCATCAAGTAAGACACAGTTAAGGAATCAATAAGCTTGTGCATATCAATCAGCCAATAAATACAAATCATCCTGGATGTTATTTGTTCATATTACGGTAACAACAATTGTATTTTTTAACTAAAGAATGCAATATAAGATAAAAGAACTTTAAAAAGGATATTTTTACAGATGATGGACTCGGACATTGCCTGAAACCTTGTTTGCTGCAGAGATTAAAAAAATATATATACAAGAATGTAATTTTTTTGTACAAAAAAGTTATGCAGAATTCAACTTAATATGCTAATAACTCACCATTTGTTGAAGAAGATTTTGCACCTGAAAATGTAAAATAACAAGTTAGCACACATTACAAGTATATCGTATCGCGATTCAGAAAGCAGACTCTCATGTAATACCAGCATTTAAGCCTATACAAATTTATAATCCTGCATAAGTTCATTTAAACTCAAGTATTCATATAATATATCTTGTAGAGACTTCACAGACACTAGAGAAACCAAATCCATATAAATCCTGTGAACCAAAGCATGCTTTCGTTGCTTGGGCATAAACCAGTATTTAATGCTTTGCTGAACCAGTTAATCATGAGACACAAAATCTTTCAATTCCAATCTAACCATCTCATTCTTAACCATCCCCATTGCTATATTCAACTAAGCAAAAAAAAAAAAAATTAAATTAAATTAAATTAAATTAAATAAAAAAAATAATAATAATAATAATAATTCCACAGGATAATTTATCTGGCAACTTCAAAGAGCTTATAAAACTCACAAAAACAGTCATATCAGCAGTGCTTTGTTTAGGATTCTCATTGTCCTGCCCATCCTGTCAGCCAAGAAACACAAACATCAATTCCCATGCAGAATATTGATGCAGAAGGTACTAGTCAAACTAACCAGATTGAAGAACATTGAAATACAGCAAAGATTTGAAATTAGAACAGATTGTAGTAGGAACTCCTAGGTAGTAATGTATTCGTTGTTGAGACTTGAGAGGGGATACCACACAAACATGATAACTGAACGAAGCAGGGGGGAAAAAATATCACCCAGGTCCTCACAAGTGTAGGATATGTACTCAAAATGAAACTTTTAACTAAATAGATTCTATTATTACATTCTAGATTTTCTGCATGGCATTCTACCACCATCCGATACATGCACTGGATCATCCAAATTTCTAGAACAATTTTTATATATGCATTATTTCAGGTTCAGTTCTTAAGATGCTTTTTGCAACATAAATAAAACCTCCATCAAATCCAACCAGTAACCCGTCAGCTACCCCTTCCACCACGATTATGCCTCAGAGACCCCAAACATGAAATATAATCCTCAGTGAACTAACCGGTATCGAATATGATGCAAAGAATTGGAGTAAGGTTAAATAAACAATCTTCAAATCTCGAACTACCGCTTCAATGTCGTGAAAATGAAGTAAACTGCAACAATTTCACACCAGCATAGCCTAACTGTGAGCCTTAGCTACTTCAGTAGAATCCCTCAATGTACAGCAGTGAGCTATGTGACCCAGTGAACGTGTAATTAATTACAAGAAATAAGCCACCAAAAGCAATATACACCTCTATTGATACACTAAAAACATTTTTAAAATGCAAGACGTTCAACCTTTCACAACGCATATTCGATTTTGAGTTAAACTCTACTTCAGTTCTTCAAGATCTTACCTTTTTTTTTTTTTTTTCCTAAAAAGAACCATCCCAAATCAGATTAAAAAAGAAATTGTTCGATTGTCCTAATTCAATGTCACATAATGCTTAGTTTTAAACAAACAAAAAAAAAAAAAAAAAAAAAAAAAAAAAAAAAAAAA